CTCCTCGGCCTTGCCGGAGCAATGCATCCGCAGTGGGGTGAACCACAGCTGTATTTACCTTGCATGGCTTCCTCCTCCCACGCCTCCCACCAGCCCTGCTGGCGTGGTACCCATGTGGCCGGCCGGCCAGCCGTGGCCGCACAGCCCTGCTGAGACTGATCTCAGCGCTGACATAGCGAGAAGGAATAAAACCATCTTTTTGTCCACCCGCAAGCAGCAGGGCAGGGAGGACCATAAAGTCCAGCTTCCCAGGCAGCAAGGAGCATCCCTCGCCCCTCTGCACCACGCTGGGGCAGGCAGCTGTGCTGTTCGGGATGAACCAGAATCCTCTGTGTTTTCTTGCGGTGTTCAAAGAAACCCCAGCAGCAGGAGGGCCCTCTGGGTGTAAAACGTCCCTGTGGCAGATGCCCTGAGGTGTAGGGGTTACATGAGGTTGGTGCTCTCTGGTGGGGCAGTGGGGGGGCCTTGAGTGCCAGTGCAGGGAGATTAACTGGGGGACAAAGCCCCTGTCCCCAACTCCCAAGGAGCCCAAGGATATACTTTCTAAGAGCTGGGGCTTGGGGCTGGGAACGTGGTGCTTGGCCAGGTGTAGGGTGGGCAGAAATGGCAGTGACTTGTTCCCTGCCTCCTCTCTCCTGGGGTAAATGAGGACGAGGGAAAGCATTAGCCTGGCTGTGCAGCACGGCGATGGGCTCTTTGCAGCAGGGCCCCAGGGCTGCGCAGCCCTGCGCCGCTGCAGTGCTGCGGGACATGGTTGGGTCTTTGGGCTGGGGTCTGTGGGCCAGTCCTGAATGAAGGGGGAAAGGCAATAACCTGTAAATGATGCCCTGGGCATCTTGAGGTGAAATCTTAGGAATCAAGATCTCCCCTTTTAAGGCTGGACTGAAGCTATGTGTTTGCATGGTGCAGTGGGCAGCTGGTGGGTAGTGCCAGCGCCATGGGCTGAGCCCTGAACCATGATGCTGGGTACAAAAGAAATGCTGGTTTAACTGCAGCTGAAGACTTGGGGTGGTTTTTGCCCTCTGCTCTGTGTTACGCTGAGCGTGACCCTCCACGCAGCACGTACCCACTCTGTGATGTATCATCTCTGCTTGCTGATGGGGACAGTTCGGCGCTTCGCAGTGTGGCACCTGTATTTGATGTATGACATGCACTGGGGTTCAATAACATTTTGCTTGAAAATGGTCTTTACTGTTATTTGTAAGTGCTTTGAGATCTTCCTAAGAAAGGATCTGTTTCAGTACAGGGGGCTATTAAATTCCAGTATATGTAATAAAGTGAATATTGCTGAGAAAATTAAGGGGCGAAGGAATATGTCTTCTTATAGGCCATAACCATCTTGGATAACTGCAGCTCAGGTGTGAAAGCTTTGGCTAAAAACAGAGAGTAGGAGGTTATTGCAAACTGTTGTAAACAACATGTTCAAGGAAATTGAATTATGAATTAAATAAACTGGATTGCTTAGAAAACTGCAGACAACAATCTAATCAAAATACCCAAGCTGCCAATGTGCCAGCAAAGTCTGAACAGGATAAAGTTTACCAGTCTCTCTGGGACCAGTGGCCAGAGAACAGCAGCATGCTTTTACCTGCGGGGAAAAGAGAGCCCTGCCTGACTCTGGTGAGCCCCTTTAGTCAGAATGGATATATTAAAATAATGAGAGGCTGTTGATCAGCAGCACAAAAGGGAAAAGGGGGATCTTGGAAGGGCTGAAAAAAAAATTTCTCTGAGTCACTGCAGGGAAGGAAATGAGCACAGGCAGCAGGTTGGGGAGGGAAGATTTAGGTTGCTGTTTTCTGAAGCGAGTCGTCTGTGTAGCCAGTGGTCTGGCTGGGTGGCCAGTGGTGCTTCTCATGAGGGGCTTGAGGAGGAGGCTGGACCACAGTTGGGCTGAGGCCCCTTCCAACCCCAGTGATCCTGCAGTCCTGGGACTTGCTGTCACTGCTCAGCTCCACCACTAGTGGGTCAGGAGCACCCAGGACATGAGTCTTGTTGCAATACATTGACCCCCAAGCAACCTGGGAACTGCCAGGGGACTGGGAAGGACACAAAGGTGGCTTGGTCTTTGTCCCAAGAACTGCAGTAACCTTTGAAAATGGGAAATAAAGTGCATGCAGCCTGAGCTGTTGCTCACAGTCATGCTGACTAAGTACAATCATAAGCTCTGCAAGCCAAGCTTACCTTTATTTACAGTTTCAGCCACAGGCTGTCTTGCTTCAAATGGGAGCATATGCTAAGGCAGGTCCTGTATTCCCTAAAGACATTCCTTTTGGGCTGAGCTCCCACACAGCCCAGCGTGCACCCCATGGGTGTTGTGCTGGGCAGAGCAGGCAGCAGAGCGGGGAGCCCACAGACCCCACGCTGGTCTCTGCTACACAGTCAAGGGTATTACTGGGTTTTAGAAATGAGCCATTTCATAAGCCACAGAGCTAATGAAGCTTGGTGTCTTGATATTTAGCTTCTACCATGGCTGGTAAAACACCAGTTCTTTTTCTGCCCCTGGGATATTTCTCATGTCTCTTGCTTGTGTGATTTATCTGATATTTGACACTAGTTGAGTCTTCCTCTCTGTAGCTTTCCACTCAGTGGGAGCTCTGAGTTCCTCCTTTTTCCTGTTCCCCCGTTGTTGTGAAATTCATAGGTAGTTGATATCCTTGAGGTTTCTACCAACTGTTAAACCTGGTTGAAACTTGTCAACTGAGTCCAAATGTTATGGCAAGCCTGGGGTAGGCACGGCAAAAGTCTTGCTATCTTGACCAACTGAACTACAAGGTCTCCCAGACCCATAAAAGGGTGTGATTTGAGCACAAATTTGATGAAAAACCAGAGATCTATCAATGAACAGCAAAATTAAAAGCAAACCTAAGAAAACATTTCACCCCAATCTGTGCAAGGATGCTTAAATTATTGACACAAAGTTGTCAGCTGGATGTCCAGCTCACCTCAGTGTCTTGCTGTGCCTAAAAAAGTAGCTGAAAGGTGAAGGCTGTACCCTAACTGCCCACAAGCACAGTGATGTTTTAGGAATCAATTATAAAAAGGGTTTTGATTTTTTTTCTAATCTTTTTGAAATGCAAAAATGAACTAATACCCTGTTCTCTCAACCTACCTCCCCAGACACCGCCTCCAAAAAGAGTAAAATGCATTGAGATCAATTATTTTTTCAATGTCTCAGTGCCTCAAGCTAGCTGGTCCCAGTTCCACCTCATCGTCTATCCTTCCCATTCTACAAATTGGAGGTTTTATCTGACTCCCTGTGAAATTGTGAACAGGGTTCCCATGGACTGAAAAGAAGGGTCTGAATGTTAGCAGAGCTGCTTGCGGGACAGTCAGGGAGAGTAGTTTCACCAAATCCAGCCCTAGCAGCTCTTTCCTTTCTCTCCCTGGGGACTGTGCTTCTGGGTCTTGCAGCAGTGGGCAGGGAGAGGATTCATTCTGTGCAGCTGCCCCTTGAGCTAAAACCAGAATTTCCTCCAGAAAATCACGGCTAATGGGATCATTACATCCTTTCACAAGGCCCATTAGCCTAGAAAGGAGAAGAGCTAAATGCGAAACAAAACCTCTCGCCACATGATTGCCCTTTGGCCAGTATGGAAGAGGAAAGGCAGAACCATGCATGCATTGGTGAGGGTGGCCTGAGCAACAGGGGCAGCTGGGCAGCACCTCCTCGTTGCCTCAGGACATGAGGTCTTAGCTGACAGGAAAAGGTGTGATTCAGAGTCATCAAAACTGCTGTGGTGTTTCCATTGACTTCTGTTCTTCTCAGAGAGGATTCTGTGGCAAGGCTGGTGTTTGTCTGAGGGCTCACCAGCATTATTACTCTGATAAAGGAGGGTATAGACAAATGGAGACTTTTCTCATTAAAGGTGTCCCAGTAATACTTTTCTTCTGCTTTTCTTTCCTGACTTAGCTTCTCTTTTGTCTCTAGAATGTGGCTGCCCTTCAGCATTGGTTAAATTATTGTCTTATCTCCATTTTATAAACTCTTTAGGCAGAAGTATCTTAGAAAACAGAGGGTTTAATTAGTAATCTCTGTCATTGCTTCATTCCTCACTGTTGGTTCCTGCTTTTGCTGTTCTCTGCAGAAGGCAATGGCAGTGGTTGCATTGGTGACTGCACACAGCTAGGCCTTCAGATCAAATTTGGCATTGACAAATGTCAGCCTTGGAGCACTGGGACATGTTATTGACAGCGAGAGTGAAGTGGAGTTCAAAGGCGCCTCGTGGGACTAACGGCGTTCTTGTATTTTCTTTTAGGAGCTGTCTTTTACAAACAACTCTGTTTATTTCTAGTACTCCTCTCTGCCCCAGTTAATTTTCTTTTAAGCTTTGGAGCCTTTAAATTAGGTTTTGGAGAGAAGGGCCACCACAAGAAGCTGTATGTACCTGTGCCACCCCATGGGAGACCAGGCTTGCCCAAATCAAGTCCCCCTCCTCTGCTAGCACAGGGCTCCTTCAACTCTTGTGGAAAGTGTTCATTTGGTCTCTTGCTGCTGGGAGGCTCTGGAAAGTCACAGGATTCTGCAGATTTGTCCAAGCAAGAAAGTGGTGATGCTGAAGAGCTATACGTGCCGTGGGTTTGCAAGGCTCCCGGTGCATCCCTTCCCTTTGGCACTCTTAGCACCACCGGGTGCCTCGCCAAGCACTGTAATTCCTGGCACTATATAACCTGCTCCTAGAAAAGGCTCGTCTAAATGCTGGGTATTGCTGACCCCCTGATCACTGGCCTTTCTGCTGGTTTCAGAAGCCACTGGGGCTCTGCCTCTTTGCATCCATGCAGTGTCTGCACTCTGTGCTGGCCTTGCCTTCTCACCTGTGTTTGCATCTCCCTTGCAGGTCTGGATGGATGCAGGCACTCAAATCTTCTTTTCGTATGCAATTTGTCTGGGATGCCTGACAGCTCTGGGCAGCTATAACAAATACCATAACGACTGCTACAGGTAACTGGAGTGCGCCTCTGCTGCCTAGAGCTCTCCTCTCCCTGAACATCAGTGCACATAGGCTGGTGAGCTGCTGGAGGCTACCGGCCTTCTGAAGTGTTGTGTTTTCTGTTTCTACTCAAGGTGTAAGAAAAGTCTTTCCAGGTGTTTTCTCCTCAAATCCAGCTCTCCGTGCTTTCAACCCAAGGGAACTTTCTGTCCGTGCTGTGGATGACAAATCCCCTCTTCCACACCAGCTGAGACTCAGCAATGTCAGATCCTCTTCACTAGCTTTGTGACCCCAGCCCACACCCCAACCTCCCCTATTACATGGGTGCATGAGTAACTATAGGGGAAGCAGAGCTGTGTGATGTAATGGCTGTAGACTGGAGTCCTTTCACCTTGTGATTTATTCTTCCTAGATTCATTTGGACCTAGTGTCTTGCACAGTTGTAAGTGCTCTGGGTTCCTATGTGCTATTTATGTTCTACGTATAAGCCTACAGATACGACTTCTCTTTCTTGCGTACTTTCCCCATGCTGGACTGCCCTTGAACAGAGATGGGCTGAGTTGTCGGATAGAATCAGGCTGTCAAGTCGAAGTGGTCAGGTGAAAATAAATGCATTTTGCTGTAGATGTATCCAGCATCTGGAACTGCATCTCCAGGGGTAAAAGGCTAGTGTGAATGGAAGAGGCCACCTGTAGGTAAAACCACCCTCCTCCCTTCCCAGCCTTTTTCTGCTGACCATGTTGCTCTTGGCACTGCTTGGCACTGGGTTCTACCCCCATCTTTTAAATTCAAAATTGTGGTTTTTGCCATGGAAGGTCCAGGCAGACCACTGGCTACATGGACCTTGCTTGGCATCTCTCTCTCTTCACCTTAGAAGTTCACTCCTGCTGTAGGGGTGCCTCTCCAACAGCAGCTGGGCTGGGATTCCTCTTCCTTTTCATGTCCCTTCTCCTAGACACAGTTTTGAGAGAAAAAGCTGTAGGAAAAGAAGACATAATGGATCTGTCTCTGGCCTGCTGCATGTCCTTGGGCATTAGCCCTTTGCATCTGCTGTCTCGATGTGTGGCATGGAGATGATGACAGGGACTGCTTAGCAGCAATGTTGTAAAGAGCTTCTGTAACTGCAGCTGGGAGATGTTATAGAAAGGTGGGGGATGTCTGTTCACACACAGACCCTTGATACTATTTGGCTTTGCTAGGGAAATTGTTCTTAGTTTTGGTGTCAAACCTCTGACCAGCCTGTTCCCAGGCATGGACCCAGTTTTAATGAATTGGTCTTGTGCTCTGCAGCCTTGGTTTGCACAGGAAGACAGGACAAGGCTTTAACAGGGCAGAGGGACACAAGCATGGTGTCCCACTCAGTTATCCCAGGACAGGTGTAACCTTTGGTGACCCGGAAGAAAAAAGGATGCTGGTAGGAGGAACCATTGTCTGTACGGCAGCAGTTCAAGATGGCACCCAATGGCATAGACCATTTCTCATTTTCTGGGACAGTAAGGGATATCATACAGAGCTCCCTGGTTCCCTGTTGGGTGAAAATCTGGAGAGACCTCTTTGCTCTGGCCATTCACCACATGTCACCCTCCACCACAACACCCCTTTCCACCTGCCAGGTGACTGGAGAGCACCTCCCAGCCTGTGCCTTTCCAAGGAGGGTTTGACCTGTCATTCGTACACCCAGGGGAAAGAAGAAGAAACACCAGGAAGGAACAGGAACTATTTGAAATAAATGGGAATTTGTATAAAATGACTGAGAATATAATTTCAGTGGAGAGCAGGCAGTTTATAGCAACCAGAAAAATGAGGTTCTGACGTGGGCTTTCCACTGGGTTAGCTGAGCTTGGTAGAGCATGACCCTCCTTACCAGCCAGGAGATTTGTGGGGACTCACCCTGCAGGCCTCTTTCATTCTCTCCTGCTTTAGAAACCAAGTGCAAAGGCAGAGAAATGGTGTTAGGTGCTGTGCAGTCCTTGACAATGCAAAGAGCTGTGCTTCAGAAGGAATAATCTGAATTTGTACAGCTTAGGGACTCTGCGTGAACTGTTCTTTCTCTCTAGAAATAGTTGCAGACCGTGAATAGATCCAGTTAATGTGCAGGGAGGAGCATGAAGACCCCAAAAATGCTAGATATCTAAAGACTGATACAGAAAATCACAGTGAATTTGCAAAGCAGCATTTAATGAAGTCAGAGTAGGCCATGAAATGCCAGAAGGTGTGCGTTCAGTTTGGTTCAGAATATCTCAGAAAGATGATGCAAATGTTACCATTGTCCCCAGGGTTGCAGTCACAAGAGGACTAGGGAGACTGGAGCATGAAAAGGAATTGGATAGATAAGAGATGTTTAGTTTAAAGAGTAGATGGATGAGAATGAGATGAAACAGAGACAAAAGGGAATAGATCAGAGAAAATAAATTGGATGGCTCTGTTCATCTTTTTCTCATAATGCAAGGACAAGGAGATATCTAGTAGTGCTGAGAACCAAGAAGATTGTAACTGGTCTGAGAAATCTATTAAGGAAAGAAAACATGCTCCCTTCTCAGACAAAAATAATCTCTGGTACTCTCTGCTATAGGAGGGACCAGGGGAGAGAGGAAAAAAGAAAAAAAATCAGGCATTTAGATGTGTAGCAAGACTATGTATCTCATGAGCGAGGAGCTTAGGTGAGGAATGCATCTTTATGCTGTCCTTGGAGAAGGCTTTCCCTGGGGGAGACCCTGCTGTGTTGCCCAGCCTGGGGCATCCTCCTGCAGTTCCTGGTGCTGAGCTGAGCTGTGGGAGTGCTGGAAGAGAGGCCCTGCTGTGGGCACAGTGGCTGGGGTGGGAGAGTGGGTGCTGCCCCTGGGGGCTGCCATGGGGTGTGCATCATACCTGGACCCTCACCTGGCTGATGCTGTGCCCCCTTGTCCCAGGGACTGCGTGGCCCTCTGCTTCCTCAACAGTGGCACCAGCTTCGTGGCAGGCTTTGCCATCTTCTCCATCCTGGGCTTCATGGCAGGGGAGCAGGGCGTGCCCATCGCCGAGGTGGCCGAGTCGGGTGAGTGGGGCTGTGGTGGGTCAGGACCACAGGCGTGCTGCTGTTTGGCCCCCCTCAGCAAGGGGAGCCTGCCCACAGGATACCCACCCTGGGGTGGATGACACTGCAGTTGCAGGTTCCCATCCTGGTGGGCAGCTCTGCTTTCTGTCTCCAAAAACCAGGGAGAAACAAACACAATGGCCATGTCTTGAGGTCAATATAAGCTGCCTATAAGGCTTAGGGTTAGGCAGCTGCTGTCTCTCGGTGGAGGGGTGAGGTGCCTGCATGGTGTACACCCAGGCTTGTGCTGTGCTCCTCTTGGCTCAGAGGCTTTCCCTGGCTCCCAGCCCTTGTGATGGCCATGCAGCCGGAGCTTGCTGTGTCCCCTTTCCCTCCCTTCCTGCTGGGCTCCTCCATCCCCTCAAGGAGCCTGGGTTTCATGCACAGCGCTGGTATAACTGGAGCGAGAGGCTGCATGGCTGCAGGCTCTGCCTTGGCCAGGTGGCTGCCTCAAGCAGGGCTGCACCAGCCGTGCCGTGCCATGCCGCTGCCGCTGCTACGCTGCTGCCCGCTCTGAAAGCCCTTCTCCCCGCAGGGCCTGGCCTGGCATTCATCGCCTACCCTCGGGCTGTGGTCATGCTGCCCTTCTCCCCGCTCTGGGCATGCTTCTTCTTCCTGATGGTTGTTTTGCTGGGACTGGACAGCCAGGTAAAGGCACAGGTGCAGGGCGATTCCCTGCCAGACAAAAGCCACCGTCCCTTCAGGACAGGCTTGAACTTGGCTGAGGCGGCGGGGCAGCAGGGCTGGGTAGCTGGTCAGGACAGGCTGACGGAGGTGGGATCTGTTCTTTGCAGTTCGTCTGCGTGGAGAGCCTTGTCACAGCTCTTGTGGACATGTACCCCACCATCTTCCGCAAGAAGAACCGCCGGGAGACTCTCATCCTGCTGGTCTCCATCCTCTCCTATCTGGTCGGGTTGGTGATGCTCACAGAGGTATTTTGGGCTCAGACCACCTGTGTGGTGCTTGCTGGGTCTGAGTGCCCCCCTGGCAGAGGGGGCCTGGTGGGTGGTGGTGTCTGTCCTGGGGCAGAGAGCTTGAGGGTCAGCCCCATCCTGCTGCCCAGTGCCTGGGGGACGCTGCCCTTCCCTCCTCGTGGCATTCGCATTTTCCCATCCAGCCCTCACCCCTTGTGCCAGTCACAGCCCTGACACCTCTCCTGCCAAAACTGGTAACTGGAGCTCTGCACAACCCGTAGCTCGGTTACAGATTCATCTTTACGTGACCCAAACCTTTACAGCTGTAGTCTGTTGCATGGTGGGGGGAGCATCTTTATTCTCTTTCCTCCTACATGAACACCTGGTGTAAGGAAGCTTGGTGGGCCTCAGTGTACCCCATATCTGTTACACTCATTTCCTATATATTCCCCTTGTTGTGATTAATTGCCTAGGAGTTAAACTGTCCTGGTTTAATACCTTTAATTCCTCCTATCAGTATGCATGTGGGGATTGATGCTGCCATGATGCTCTTTGCATCTTCTGTTTTCATTTGTGCATAATTTTGAAAAAGCTGCCTTTGCTGTTGCACCTGCAGCTTTGTGCCTGGACTTACCTGCAGGCCCATTTTGTAGACAGCCTTGCAGACCTGGGCAGTGAAACAGCCAGCCTGTGGACCCACAGCAGCAGGTGCTTGCAAAACTGCATGCACAGCTACTTCCCTCTACAAATTAGGAGGCTGAATTAAATCAGATGCATCGTGTCTCTTAAGGGTATTTCCACCCTCGCTTCCAGCTACAAGAGTTGCTTGGGTTTTGTCTTGTCTTAAAATATCCCCATGATCCCTGGCAGTCACTTGCCTTCCCCTGGAATGAAGTGTTGCAGAGACTCCTGAGAGCAGGGCTGCTGCATGTCTCCATCAGGCCTGGAGCACAAAGGACACGGCCTTTGCTGTTGGCTAAAACCCTGCCCCAGAGAGAGGAAGGTGCCTCCAGCTCTGGGGAAGATTTTGAGTTTGTTTCCTGCTCTGGCTGGAGCTCTTTGCCTGATTCCTCTCCCCTCTCCCCACCTCGCCTCGCTGCCCCCTTGGCCCTTCCCAGGGTGGGATGTATGTCTTCCAGCTCTTTGATTACTATGCTGCCAGTGGCATGTGCCTGCTCTTTGTGGCCATCTTCGAGACTCTCTGCATCGCCTGGGTCTATGGTGAGTATGAACAAGAGAGGGTCCCCAGCTCTGGTCTCTCAGGTTCTCACTTGGTCCATCCCAAAAATGCTGGTCCATAGCTTCTCTTGGCAGTTGCTTCACAGGGCAAGGCAAACCTCTAAACCCTCACTTCGGTGCCCATGGACTCAGCTGGCAGAGGCTTCCGCACAGCAGTGCCCTGGGGGATCTGCTTGGCAGATATCCCCAGCATGTTCCTATGTGCCCCTGCTTTTGAGGCTCTCCTTCCTTGGGAACTTGGAGCTGGCTGGGAAATCTTTTTCCAACCTGTGTATAGAGGAGTCTGAGACCCTCAGACATTTTTGAGAGCCCTCTCTCAGCCTTGACATTCGCAAGGGGTAGGTAACACCTGGGTTTAGGTCCTAGCCTGAGAGATTCCAGCTGAGGGCCTGGCCCTGCTGACCCACCGGACTGTTCTGGGGGGCAAGAGGATGTTAGTCCAGGACAAAGACTGAAGTTGTCCACACCCCTGGTGAGCTCCCTGACTGGGCTGTTGGCTATGCTGAAGTTATTGCCTCGTCTTCTGGGGAACACCCAAACAGCGGTGAAGTAGGGCCCCATTTGCCACCCTCCCTCCGACAGGCAGACCCTGCTGCTCTCCTTCCCTGGCAGCAGCGAGACAACCTTCCCCTCTTCTGCAGGTGCTGAACGTTTCTATGATAACATTGAAGACATGATTGGCTACCGGCCATGGCCCATCATCAAATACTGCTGGCTTTTCATCACCCCAGCGGTCTGCATGGTGAGAGCCCCCAGGAAGAGGAGCTGTGGGGATGGAGTTGGGCAGAGCTGGGTGCCTCTGAGATACAGATACTTACCTATATACAGAGGGATGTGCATATGTATGGGAGTTATGTGGCCTGTACTTTGGGAGCTTGTTGTTCTATATGTGTTTGTGGCTTTGGGGGCCAGGTGTGGGTCTAAACAGCAGGCAGAGGGGCCCAGCTCAGCAGTGTCTGCTGGTGGGGTGAACTCCTTGCTGCCATGCCCACTGCTGCACATGGGGACTGTCCTAAGCAAAGCTTGCTTGACTGGTATCTGCTGTCCTGGGGAGCTCTTTGTTACCCTGAGACTCTGTGCAGGTGTGGACTCACAAGGAAGATCTCTCTTGGCTAATGGTGTTGATTTTCTTGATCGTTTTCTCTTGGTCTCTTCCACCTTGCCAGGCAACCTTCCTGTTTTCTTTGATCAAATACACCCCACTGACCTACAACAAGAAGTATGTGTACCCATGGTGGGGAGATACCCTGGGCTGGCTGCTGGCCCTATCCTCCATGGTGTGCATCCCTCTCTGGATCATCTACAAACTCTTCACCATCAAAGGTTCCCTCAGAGAGGTGAGGCTGGTGCTCTGGCATCAGGGCGTGGGCTGTGCTTCTGTGTTGAAGCCCAGCCTTGCAGGGGGATTATTTGTGCGTTGCAGGTTAATTAGCAGGGAGCCTAGAATAAATCAATTGAATGAGGACTCATAGCAATAAGACTGTTGACTTAATAAGTTCTGCCTGGCTGAAGGGCTGCTCCAAGCTGGCTGTTGCCTCTTGGTGCCCTTTGTTTATTGCTTCTGTCTTTGCAAGCACCATTAGGAAAAAGTTCATTAGTTGGAGAGGATAAAGATGATCTCCAGTGCCTTGAGTCAGTTTGGAGGCTGCCCTGCCCTTGACTGAGGCTTGGGGACTTGCTCTGAGAAAACTCCAGGTCCCATGAGCATTGCGGGCAGCTGAGTGTCAGTGGCCTGGGCATGCCCAGCTCCTGGAGCTGCTGTGACCCATTTCTGGCTGCCCTGTACGTGCCTTGAGAGAGTCAAGGACCTGGCAAAGCACACGTTGCTCCAGACAGGCATCCCTTCCCTGCCAGGGCTCACTGGAGGTTTCACAGACATCCTGATGCCCCAGGATCCCACCTGTTCTCTGCTTCCTGCACGTGCTCAGGAATGGGTTGTGACGGCAATAGGCCCCTCGTCCCCATGTCCAGCACAGACAGGGAGGAGTGGGCACAGCTGCAGGAGCATAGCAAGGGCCACACTGCATGACATAGAGGGTAGCCCCTCACACACCTGCTGTCCCAGTTAAAGCCAAACCTGTGTGCACAGGCTCTTCCTTTGCAGCCTGTGCTGATGGAGGGGATGACCTGCAGGTACCTGGACACCAATGTTTCTTTGGACTGCTTTCTAGACGTGGTCTGGAGCAAATGGAGGACAAAGATTTCCTACCATGTCTCAGATCTCTTGTGTGTTCAGTGCTTTTCTTGGGACAAGTGGCTCAAGGATGAGTTTATCCCCTCAGTTTCTGAAATGCTGACTGTCCTTATTTGGGTCATCCCTGACATTTAGGGACCAGACCTGCAGCTCTGCCTGGCTGGCTCATGATACCCATGAGTGGAAGGGGAGGGCCCACATCACCTTCGGTCCTTGTGACTGTGTTCAATGCCTGCCTTTGCTTTCCAGAGGCTCCGCCAACTCACCTGCCCACTTGAGGACTTGCCTTCCAGGCTGGGCACGGGACAGCCTCTTCCCTCCACCAGAGCTGGTCTCCTGATGCTGACAGAGCTCGAATCTCATTGCTAGGACCAGTGTGGCTCTCCTTCTCTCCCCCCAGGATGGTTTCTATACAGCCTTTATGACCTGTTGGATAACGCAAGGAGAGAGGGATTTCTGGTCTGAGCTCCCTTCCCTGGAAGATTTGAAGGGCTGAGGAAGAGGCTGCCATGGAGATGGTCTGCATGGAGTTAGCAATGAACCTTAATCCTCTCTCTGGAGAGGGCTCTGAAGGGGCAGATCAAACACCAGTGTTCCTGATCATCCTCAGCCTTCTGGTGGGCGGAAAGGAAGGACTGATCCTGGAGAGGAGAGTGTCAGAGAGTCTCAGAGGTGTGGCTCCAGTGTGGACTTTGGGAGCTTCTCTATTCATTCCATTAAACCCTTGTTTTTCCCCTCTAGATCTGCTCTGTCTCAGTTTTGTCTCACCAGCATCCCGTGCCCGCAGAATCTTAGGTGGGGTGCGTGTTAGCAGAGCTGTGCTGGGCATTCAGGCCTGGGCCTCTGTTGCACTGGCACTTCGGCATGGGAGGGTGGCCGGAGGAGAAGAAGCTTGGTTAGGGTAGGAAAGAAAAATGGGAAACACCGGTTCTGTGGCTCATGTAAGTGGTAGGCCTGGGGTACCTGGGTGAAGTGGAGGGTGCAGTGCCACCTTCTGCTGGAGCCATTGCCAGCTCCCAGCCGAAAGAGTCATCTGGCTGATGAGTCACTGGGCTATTCCCAGGGCCTGAGAAAAGTGCGTGGGTTTGCGTTTTCTTCGTGCAAGTGAAGGATCATGGGAAACTCTCCCTTGTCTCTGCAGGTTTATGTCTCTCCTTTTTTTTTTTTTTTTTGTGTGTGCTGACTGCCTTCCAGATGCTCTAGAGCCAGTCATTTTGGTTTTCCTTCCTATGGAAGAAGGGCCATGTGGTTGAAGCAGGATCTGCATGTTATACCAACAAGCAGGGCCCCTTGTTTCCAGGCTGTTTGAGTAACGACAAAAAAACAAAAAAACAAAAAACAAAAAACAAAACAAAAAAACCCCAAAAAAACAAAAACCAACAAACAAACAAAAACAAAACAAAAACCAACAAACAAACAAAAACAAAACAAAAAAAAAATCAAAGCGCTTGTGTTTAAATGCTGTAGCCCCAGCATCCGAGGAGGGCAGCCCGAGGACACGTAACCCCGGGAAGCTGGATGGCTCCCAGGAAACCCTGAGGATGCTGGAGCCCGGGCAGAGCAGAGCGAGAGGCTGGACGCGCTCGGCTTCCAGAAGCGCACACGGACACGGGTGGGTGCCACGCTACGGCCAAGGCTTCTGGGTACAGCAGGAAGAGGCAAACTGAAGCAATCCACGTCACTAGCCACAAGGTGGCCCCAGGACTTCACCTACGGCCGCGGCGGGGCCGGGCCCTTGGGGGGCGGGCTGGGGGGGGCGGGGACCCCCGCCAGCCGTCTCCCCTGCCTCGGAAGGTCCTCTCAGCTGGGTGGCTGTTTGCCCCTAGGGCGGGTGGCCAGCCTGTTCACCGGCTGTAGGGCTGGGGAGGGATTTTCTCCTGGGTCACAATGACATGGCCATTTCCCTGCTGCCACTGCTGCCGCGCTACCTGTGGAGGTTTTTTCTTCAGCTGCCTCCCATGGGCAACAGTGACCACAGTTGTGGTACATACTCGTTGAGACCTCCAGGTGATGGCAAGTTCTTCGGCTTGGTTTTCTTGGTCTTGGTTTTCCCTGGTTTAGTGTTGTTGGAGTCTGGTGACCCGAGATGGGAGACAGGTCGATGGTGGGGTCAGAAGTTTTCATTCACAGAGACTGTGAAACTCTGATGAGCACCAAGGACTGAGGGGTTTGCTGCTGGGAGGTCTTGTGATGGTGCAGATTTAACCTCCAGGAAGAAGAGCCCACTGATCTGTGGCCCTTTGAGGCTTCATTGGTTCTGTTCCAGAGGTAGTGTGGAAACCTCCTCTCATTTCCAGCCTGTTTTCCCTTTTCTCAGCCTATCTATCTTCCACAGGGACTCTGGGGTGGGCAGGTTCCTTTGCTAGGCTGCATGAGCAACCATGGGTGAACCCCCTGTGGTCAGCCCTGCGCCTTGCCTGCCAAAATCTCAGCCACTGGGTTTCTGCACACCTCCCTCCCTGTCTCTGGAGAACGCTGGGGATGCTGAAGGCATAGGGGTGGGGAGCGGGAGGTCAGGGCTGAACCAGCCATCGCAGTTTTCCTGGGCAGCCTCAGAGTCTCAGAGCTCCAGATTCCCCAGCTGCCAGAGCACGTCGTTGCTGCTCATGTGTGAGCTGAGGGTAGGAAAGAGCTTAGAAACCCGGGGAAAGCCCCTTCTGGGAGAGCCCCGCAGTGTGATGGAGGATGGAGCCATCCAGCTGCCACCTGGGTACAGTACTGGCTGGTAGGAATTACTTCTAGAGATGAGTGAATGGAGTTCAATACTGAAGTTTTTTCTGTTGGCTTTTTGTGTGGATCGTATTAGCAGCTCCAGCAACAGATATTTTTATTTATGCAATTCTAATCTTAAACAGAATTATACTTTCATTTTCCAGTAATACCCAGAAGAGGTTTGGCCCACTGGGAAGATATTTTAACACAAATTAATAGAAAATAGTAATTGTCCACAGCTATTTCCAAAACATGGCTGATGTAGAAAGTGCTCAGCTTCATGTAGGCAAAGTGTCTGCTGAGAGGCTTGTGACTTGCTTTGTTTCAAAACAGTCTGGTGTCCAATGAATTGGGCATGTGGTTTATTGATCTGGTTATATATGAGCCAGGAAACCTCCCAAGCCTGTGTTCCTATATGACCCAGTTGCTGTAAAGCTTCGGATGAGCTAGGTAGGTCAGATAAGCAAGAAAACCAAAGGTTTTGCTAGACATTCTTAAATAAATGTCTTATTTTTGATATGACTTTATCTTAAAGTATTGGAACCTATGACACTTGGCTTGGATATCAATCAAGTATATTCTGTGTTGTTCATTGAGAAGGTTGATGATAGACTAAATCTGAAAAAACTTCCAGACATGAGATTTTTCACAGCACTCTTTAAGACCCCATGATTAGAGGGAATTTTGGTGACATTCAGAATATGGAGATTTTGGAATATGGTGATTGTTCATGATTTGGAATATGGTGAAAGGGATTCTCATTGCATTCAAGATCAGCCCAGTACTGTTTTTCTTGCAGTCTGTTGAATTTAGTCCTGCTCATACCTTCTCCATCTGAGGAGATGCTGATGTCCCCTGAGACAGGAAATGTGCAGTTGTTGGAAATTTCCCACCTTCAGAATCCAAAGTCTACAACTTAGCCTGAGAATTCAACTCATTGGTTTCAGAAAAATGGGGGTGAGATTAAAGACCCATTTTAAAACGTTTTTTAACTTATTTTTTTCCAATTTCAAATTAGAAGTTCAAATAAAAATAAAGAAGTCCCTGAGATTCTGTCCTGGGTTGTTAGTGCTTGAAAGGGATGACTGACCTTTCTGTTCATCTGTTCATGAAAACCAAGCTCTGCTTTTCCCACACTGCAGTGCTTGCATCAGTAGTGCCTGGGGAAGAGTGTCAGCCCCCTAATCAGGCAAAGAGATACTGTTGACACTGTTGTCCTCCTCTGTGGATGGAGATGCCCACATAGGGCAGGGGAGGGACTTCAGATCTTGGGGATGGACCTGTGGACCAGGATGCATCTGTTCCCATGGGGAGCAGCCTGAACCCTGGGGCTCCCAGCACGTTTGAACACATGCCATGAGGGGTCCTTATCCATTTGCCAGTAGCAATATATAAGATGGTTTTCTGTGGCTGCTGAATCATGCACTGTAAGTCGTGTTGCATGTTTAGGAGACAGGAAAGGTGGCTGTGTGGGGAGAAGACAGGCCATGGTGCATAAATGGAGAGAACAGAGTAAGACTAACATCTTAACACATGGGATAGGTAATCCTGTGAAGCAGAGATTCCCAAATAATCTGTTAAGTGTGTCCTACAGGCCAGTGCAAATGAGCGTATCCCTCAGAGCAGGGTATTTGGCTGCACCCTTGTCTGCTAATGCGGTTAGCAGCCTGCAGGATGGGGACCTGCATGGCGCAGATAAGGGAAGTGCGTGTGTGGGAGCACAAAGATGGATTTGGGAGGTCATTATTTCTGAGAAGGTACCAGACTAGGTACCTTCTGGTGGCTGACTCCGCTGCCCCCTTCTCCATCTGACCTGTCCAGAGTCACATCACTTTGGGCAGCAACATGTGCTTCTCTGTCCCTGCAGACAGGCCTTGTGCCTTGCGTCCTCATGCCTTGTGCACGGGAGGTGCTTGCTGTCACGGCACACGTCCCACGGCAACAGGCTCAGCTGCCCTGAGGAAGCAGGGAGGGAAAGCAGGAGCAAACAGGCACATACCCATCTTTTCTCTGCCTGTTTTTTTTTTCTGAGGTCCTCCTTGGTCTCTGACCACCAGCGGGCATTGCTGTTAGACTCAGAGAGGCTGTTTGACCGCAGACGTCTCCGCAGCATCACTAGTCCTCCCTCCTGACCACTTTTATTGCTGACACTGGGCTCCAAAGCTATTTGCCCTTGCCTCATCCTCCCTCGCTGGGGATGCTGTGAAATGGGGGATGTCTCACCCTGCCCATACTTTCAAAGGTGTAGGCTCCTGACTGTCTCCTCTTTTCTGGGAACCCAGTGCAGGAGCACTGCTACGGCTGTCGGAGCCCATCACCCATCACGAGGTTCTGTGGGGCCTCGTTAGCGCCTGTTACTTTGGTAATGTTCACTTGTGATTAGTTACTGTAAAACTGTTGTAGGAAGTCACAGGCTTACTTAAGCAGAAACTAGCCATGAACATAAAAAATAAATTATGCAAATGCCTAGGGGAAACTCCTCTGCAAACACAGCATCCCACCAGCTAGGCAAGTTCCCGACCAAAGCAGCAGCTGTGCTGTGCCCACGGGGGAAGCAGCGTTTCTCCCGTTTCGTTTGCGAAGGTGTCAAGGGGTGGCATTAGTCTGGACGAGCGAGGATGCTGGTGGCTTCTCCCTGCCCATCGAGGGGGGCAGCCAGGGCTGCAGGCTCCTCTGTTCCTCACACAAAACCCAGCGCCCGCCCCCCGTTTGGAAAGCAGGAGCCTGTTTTGGATGCACCCGTAGGGTGTCACACTGACAGACTTCTCCCAGCAGCTGGACTGTGGGGAAAAGGGGTTAATTTTGGCTCAGAGCTCTGTGTCTTGCTGGCTTGTGGAGGAGGGAAGCATCCTGGGGCCCGGGGCTGGCTGCTGCCGAGGAGCATGGCCACGGCGTGGGCTGGTGTTGGCAGCCTGCTGCTTCGAGCTGGCTCTTTGGCAGGCGCGTCAGAGCCAGCTGAAAGCGAGGAAACGGTGGGGAGACCCAAGTAATGGGAAAAGCAGCGCGCACTCTGAGGAGAGGAAA